TTTAAAAACTATCATTTTTTTTATAAGGATCGTTTTTAAAAACAACCATTTAAAAAAAAAACTAATTTTTTTATAACGATTGTTTTGTTTTTCGTTTTTTCTTCGACGTTTTCAAAAAGAAACGATCGTTTATCAATTGGAAATTCGGAAACGATCCATTACTAATATATATGTATACGAATAACTGCTGTTTTGATTTCACATAGATTCAGCCTGCTTATAAAAAATGTCATCAATTTTTAGACAGGGTCGACTTTGAAGTGTCGTTTCGCCTTGGGCTTTGATATTACCGCTCTTACTCATTTAGTAGCCCTTTACTTGTACAATGTAGCAGTACAAAGCCCGTGTTTTTAGCTTTGGTTTTAAAGAAGTAATGGGCAAAATTCTCATAGATTTTTGCTTGAGAGGTTGCAGCTTTAAATGTAATTTGTAAAGAAAACTAAATTACATCCTGTTAATATATTGAAGAGGTGATACAACTCTGACATGTATTGATAAACTAAAGAGGTGATATAACTGACATCTAGTGATGGTTTATCTAATTAAAGATTGAAGAACTGTTTGGCAGTGTTCTCTACTTCTAACTTATACAACAATCTTTACATGTAAATACTTTGCTTGTCTTCTATATATCTATATGTAAATTTAGCTTGTCTTTCTGAGTGTTTGTTTGGGTGTCTGTTTGTTTATATCCAATAAACGTCAAAACGGCTGAACCGATCAGGCCCAAATTTTTTGTGGGACATCACGTGACCCCAGGGAAGGTTAATGAATGATAAAAATAAAAAAATTTGCGTTTAAAAGTTTTTTTATTTTTGTAAAATTTTTAAAACTAGGCATATCTTCTATTTAAATTGTGAACATGTTCTTTTTGTTTAAATTTTAAAACAAAGAAGAAAAAAATTCGCGGATTTTCAAGAATTTTTTTTTTTTTTTTACAAAATTAAAACCCTTTAAAACACATTTTTTAAAAAATTTTATCATTCATAAATCTTCCCTGTGGCCACGTGATGTCCCACAAAAAATTTGGGCCCGATCGTTCAGCCGTTTTGACGTTTATTGGATACAAACAAACAAACAGACACCAAGACAAGCCAAATTTATATATAGAAGCTTGAAAATCCGCGAATTTATTTTTAAAAATCCGTGAATTTTTTTTCTTCTTTGTTTTAAAATGTACACAAACAGAACATGTTTCCAATTTAAAAGCCATGTAAATATATACTTTACTTTTTGTCTGTAACCGATAAACTTTAAAACGGCTGAACTTTAATTTTTGTAAATGACGCCAATTGGAAAAGAAAAATCCGCCGAAATTTGAAAGTTATTTAAAATGGCTGACTTTTACACCTTAAAGGTATAATTATTTACAGGAAAGGGGGCGTAAATCTCCCCAAAAGCCTAGTATTATATTGAAAGCTTTCAGGACGCCTCGCGCTCATCTTTCTCTTTAACTTTTAATAGATGCTCTATCTGCAGAATTTTCTCTTCTTAAACTATCAGACAAAAATATCTTTGCGAATTTTTTTTCTCATGGATTTTGATTTAAAGGACATTTTTTAAATTCTGACCATGGCCAGAAACCTTCCCTGGGGTGATGTAAGGGCTCCCCAAAAAATTAGCCGGATCTGTATATGGCCGTTTTGACTTTACACTATCGGTAATGTGTTAGATCTATAATACAAAGTTTGAAAGTTTACTCCATCAGAGTCCGAATTTAATGAATTTGAGCCGCGCCTCAAATCCGCCGAAAACCGGTTTCAATTGAGCGCCGGCTTGAATTTTGAAATATTGAATACAATATTAAGTGGAACCAATCATATTTGAGCAGCGTCTCAAATTCAAAGCCGTGGCTCAAATTCTTTAAATTCGGTCTCTGGTTCCCAAGATACAAGCATTTCAATTTAGCGTTGATTTAGCTATAAAACTTAACAATTTTAAGGGACTTTGTAAATATAATTTCAAGTGCCCCGCCATGCAAAGATGACAATATGGTCATTTCACAACGGTGCCCTTTAAACCATTGTCTCATCCAGTATGTATTAAATATAAAGATTTATAATTTTCCGAAACTGATTATTTCCTATTTTAGTTTTTCTACAAAAGTGACTTGCACTGTGCGCATTTCTATTGCAGGAAAACATAAAGGAATTATTAGAACCGTTTAGGCGTGTAAATCCGGCATTGCCATTTTTGCACGAGGGCCACTTTAAAATTACACTTACTGTCCCTTTGATGCTTAGGATAAATCCTTTGCTCCCTCGGAAATTTGAATAAGATTTAGGATTTAATTATTAAACTCTAGGGTCTACCCGTTAACTTTAATTAATTCTCTTTGAATAGATTAAGCTTAATCTTAGAAGACATTAATCCCGGTTTTAATTTCGCAGACCCGGAACATAGTGGCTTTTTGATATACACAACTTTTCTATCAGAAAAGAAGAAAAACCTTTTTTAAGTAAACTGAGTCTTTGCCACAAACTCTGTTTTCTTATTCCTTTATCTTTGCAACCCAATGTCGTAGACCTTAGATATTTCAAACTACAAATTCTGTTAGATCAAATAAAAAGTTTGAAATATCAAAAGTTTAAACTGAACCCTGTTGGAAAGATATAAGAAATTGAAATTTTTAAGTTAAATTCTCATCAAGGGTAGAGATTTAACCACATCTACGCATAATTTAACCTTTCTTCATTTATTAAATATGGCCCTTTTAAGCAATCTCACCTAATGAACTAAAACTTGATTCGGTTTTGTTCATTTAAAAGTTCAGAGCTCAGTTTCAGTACTTTTTATAATAGTTGACCGCGTGTCTGTAAAAATGGCTAATAGTAATGCCGAAATTTAATAGTTTCAAAGTTTTAGAAGCTTTAAACTTTCGGAAACAACATTCAAGATTTATAATAGTCAAGATAAACTTTTAGAAACCAATTTTAGTATACGGACACAGAATTTTCTAGTTTAACTAGGCGCAATGCTATTAAAAATAAACATTTTAAGGGCAAAACGAGACGAAATTGACGAAAATTACCAACATGGTTGTACCAGTCACTCGATCCTGTTTGTATGCCGACTGCCGAGTCCATTAGCGCCTGATCCAATCAGGGTTCAGTCATGTGTTTGTTGTCTATTCTGAACCAATAGAAATAGTATGGCGCTAACATCTATCTTTTTGTCTATCTCATTATCCAATTAGAGATATGAAACCTTCAATCTGCGCTATCGGTAAATGGAAATATTTACTTCTTCTGAAACTATGGTGTAGTTGTTAATTTTAGATAAAACTGTGGAAGGTATTGTTAGCCTGCAGTTAAACTAAACGCATGGTTTTCAATTTTCAGCTTTCTATCTTCAATATCATGGTTAAATGGGAAAATAGATTTCGAAATCAAATGTTATGTTATCACGTCGTAAACGGGTTTTATTTTAAATGAAAAATTAATCAGCCAAAACTTTATTCTATTTAAAAAAAAATAAGTTTAAGGAAAATACAAATGGAGGGTCACTAGAATTTTTTTATTTTTTCATTTTCCAAGAATCCAACGATCGAAGTTTAGTTTAGAAATAAGAATTTGATAAAAGGACACATTTTAAAACGTTGTACAACACTTTTAATGTATAGTTTGGGGTATGCCGGGGGGGGGGGGGGGGCTTTACAAATTCATCCTTTTATTTGTATTTTAAAGATTCCCCTTTTTAAGCAGGGATATATATTCTAGACAGGGATTTACAAAATAGTTTCTAAACAATACGCTGGAATATTTAACAATCTAATACAAACAGTTCTAAACAGTCAGAATTGAGAAGACACATATGTCAGAAAGATTTAAAGCGAAAGTAATGGCAGAAATGATTATAGCGATTTTCATCGCTAACCTTGAAACAGTAATCTCATCAATAATACGGATATTCAATATTATTTAAAGATCTCTAGCTCTCAAGCAAAAATCGTTGAGAATTTTGCCAATTACTTCTAAAAATTAAAGCTAACACCTAGTAGTGCTTTACAGTGCTAAAATGTATATGTAAAGTGTTACGGAAAAGCATTAATGAGTTAGAGCGGTAAAATCTAAGCTTAGGGCGTTGTGACACTTCAAAGTCAACCCTGTCTTGACTTTGTTGAGACTGTTCATAAGTAGGCTGAATCTATGTGATTGTCTTTTATTCTAAGTTTAAAAATGAATTTTAACCATTAATATCTAATTAAAACTTGATCAAACAAAGCTTTATCGTTATGAATCGGGCATTGCCATCTGTGGTTGGAGGGTCACTTGAAATTTGGCGTACAGTCCCTTTAATATTTGCTCCCTTTCCAAGGAAGCTGTGACTTTCGATCACCATTTGAGCAATTTAAAGTACAGGCATTGAGTTTTTGCCGCCAACTCTGGTTATCTTTATCTCTGCAACCCAATACCGTAGACCTTTGATATTTCAAAAAATGAATTATGTAATATCAAAAAGGCTTAATTTGAAATATCAAAGGTTTACACCACCAGATTGCATTGATATATTATATAGAAAATTTGAGTTTGTGGCAAAAACTCAGTTTCTTTGTTAGCAGATGCGTTTTGAATGAACAAGTATAAAAGACAACTACGTAAGTTTGAAGATAGTTGAATAAAGAAATTAAAGAAACTAAACATATTTATGGAAAATAAAAAAAGACTAAATGTTTTTTTTGTTTATTTGTTTTAAAAAATTTAAATTTGATACATACATTTTTATATCCTTAATGACACTTTACGATATTTCTTTTTTATTAAAAATTTTCTATTTGTTAAAAATTAGCCCAAAGGCCAAAACATAAAAAAATATTTCAAATTAAATTCTTGATTTTAATTTCTGAAAATATTACATTTAAAGGGCCAATAAAAGTAATTTAAAGGGACCCTCTACTTTAAAAGGAGCTTACTCAATTCACAAGAGTACCCTTAAAACTTGAAATTCATTATTTGCGGATTTATAAAAATCAAAAGAGTATCACCGTTGTGAATCAGACATGCTGTAAATGGAGATACGGTATAGATTTAAAAAATAAAATAAAAAAAGGTTAATAATTGTAAAATATGATTTTTTAGAGTAAACTCTCCTCTGATTTCCCTGGTATACAACTGTATAGCAAATTCGTTCAAACATTGTTTATACTGAAGAAAAATTGAAATATATTTTTGAAAATACTGAAAAGCAATTATCCAAATACCAAAATGCTACGAAACCAGGGGGGGGGGGGTATAATAGTTCTCTACCTGTGTGCTCAGTTATAGCTGCATGTAGACCTAATTCAATAGTTTAGAATTACGTCTTCCAAATACTGGATTAGTTTTAAAGTCATTTTGCAGTTAAGTTCTTTAGCAAAATCTTTTACTCCAACATATCTTAATCTGGGATCGATTTTACTACTATAAAACTGCCTTATAATGTTTATTATTACTTTCTTTGGTATCAAACAACTGAGCAAATTATGAGAAAGACATTTTAAAATATTCAGCAACTGTCAACTGTCATGTTTCGTGGGACACCCTGTACTATAGGTTAGGCCAGAATCAACTTATAATAAAAAAATATGCAGTACGCTCTCGGTATAGTTAATGGCCTATACAATTAGTAAAGGATTAGCGTACATCATCACTCTATACACTATGACCTCGTTAGTTGAAACGTTATTTTGAATCTCATTTGAAAGGACAATTATTTTTTCAGAGTTTAAAATTTACTGGTAATCGTAATGATGTATTATTCTTAACTAATAGACTGAACACACACTTTTGATTTTTCTAGATTTAGATAAAGAGCATTTTTTAGGGTGCTTTATTTTCTTTGATAAAAAACATGTAAATTATCATTATATGTATGATATATTTTTTCATTTTCAATTTTGAGACAATTTTGATCAAAAATTAGGTTGGAATGAATTTCCTTTTTGTCGGGAGCTCGTCTTTTATTTTCAGTTTTTTAAAGTCGTCTTCTAGAACTTCAGGAAGAGAGATAGTGCGCTTCTCAGAGGTCAACCTTGCTAGCTAAAATAAATAAATAAATTAGTTAACCACCAATCACTTAATCAATAATATTTCATACTAGACAAATCCATCATATTAAACCAACTTTATTTGAATTGGCGTATTTTCTGCGTAATTAACACAGAAATTAAATAAAAAATAAAAAATAAATTTATTGCCGAATTTTGCGCTTTTTATATCCTCGCGTAAAATATGAGTACATTCATATGTATGTTTAAGTGTCTTCCAGTGGAAATTCTTTTTCTCATTGCGTATCAAATCTATAAACAAGACATTCGCATATATATGTTGCGTATAGCCAGCCAAACGGCTGGACCGATTGGACTGAATTTTTTTGTGGACACTCATGGGTAGCCGGGAAGTGTTATAGCAATTTTTTTATCCAACATTTATTTTTTTCCACGGGCAACCCTGGGCCCTTCAGTTGAATAAATTAATAAAAGAAAGTATTGGTTAGGTGGGTCCAAACTGCATAGTAAATTGTGTTTGCTTTTTTTGTAATATCTCATGCTTTGTAAATTTTAGTTAAATAAAAATATGAATGAATGAATAACTGAATAAATTAATAACTGAATAAATGAATAAATGAATAAATGAATAAATGAATAGATGAATAAATGGACTAACCATATTTCTTTCTTGGTGTTTTGAGTAGAAATCCGAAATATAATCTTGTCTATCTGTGTGCTCTTTTATCAAGGAACCAGTGGAATATCCTAGAGAAAAACTTTGAAATAAAGATGTCAAAACAAATTATTACTTACATGACTAAATCTAGATAAAGGGGGGGGGGAGAGGGCATTTTACGGCTTCCCTATTTTTTAAATGTATATGAAATTTAAATATTTATCACAAATGCATGACAACTTCAGTAAGATCAAAAACGACTATAAAATTATGACTTAAGAAGATGGTTATACTTCTAAAAAGTTGGAGGGGCAATATAGTTGTTAAGTTCCTATTGGGCCTTAGTCTTGGTTAGTGAATTTACTCAGGAGTATGTTGAGAATATTTCAAGATATTCCTGAGGAACTCTTGAGAAAATCTTGGGAATAGTTCCCAGGAATTGGTTCAGAAGAACTTTTCTCTGGAAATTCCCAAGAATTTCCACAAATTTAGTTGACATTTTCTCCGGTTTTTCTGCAGAATTGGTAACAAGAAATTCCCTGGAATTGGTTACAAGAAATTCCTTGGATAGAGTTATGAGAATTTCCTCGTAATGGGTTACAAGAAATTCCTCGGACCTGGTTACGAGAAATTCCTCGGACCTGGTTACGAGAAATTCCTCGGAATGGATTACGAGAATTTCCTCGGAATAGCTTTCGACATTTTCACCGGATTTTCCTGTGAAATATTCCTGGGAATTTCCGCGGATTCCCAGGAAAAATTCTTTGGAATTTCCGCGGATTTTCTGCAAAATTGTTATTTGGGATCTGATCAGTAAGTTCAGAAAGTACAAAATTTTTTCTAGCCAAAGCCAAAATAATACGAGGTTGCTATGTTGAACTCCTAACCATTGTTTTAAAGTTTAAAAACATTTTTACTTGTCCGGTCAATTGACTTTTCGATTGATATTTCTGCCATGTGCACAATTTAACCAAAAAAATCTTTTTTAAAGAGGCATTCGAGACGTTTGATGGTATACAACTGTATAGCAAATTCGTTCAAACATTGTTTATACTGAAGAAAAATTGAAATATATTTTTGAAAATACTGAAAAGCAATTATCCAATTGTAGTAAATGCCCTACTCCATAAGTGTTTCTCAAACCCATATCAATCCAGGTCCCACTTATCTTACTTTACTATCAATGTCACACACAGACATCCTTTCGTAAACTATCGCGGCCAAACACTGGGCACGATCTTGAGCTGTCAAACACTGACACAAGCTCGTAAACTGTACAACACTGGGCATGACCTCAGAGTAGGGGTTTCAACGTAATAGATTATTCACTTACGCAAATTACGAGCAGCTATGCAAATAATTTCTCATTTCGTGTAATTTTGCAGGATTACGCCTAATTAGCAAAACTTATATTTTTCGAAATTACAGCAAGTTTTGGGTAATTTCTAGAATGTAATTTCGCAAAAATATCTAATGATTAAGCAAAATTAGCGAAACTTCAATTTCGCAAAATTACGTTGTAATTTCGCGAAATTTTGTAATTATTATGCCTAAAAAGCAAAACTTCAATGTCGCCAAATTACGCCATAATTTTGCGAAATTTCTACAAGGTAATTTTGCAAAATATTGTGATAATTATGCATAATTAGTGAAACTTTAATTTCTCAAAATTATGCTGTAATTTCGCGTACTTTCTACAAAAGTTTGGGTTTGACGGAGTTATATATATATATATATATATATATATATATCTATATATATATATATCTAGGTTAGGTTAATCCCAATACAAGATTTTTGTATTTACTGATAAATGCATTTAGGTTTATGGACAATGTACAAGGTAACTTATCTCACTCAAAGAAGTTCGTAGTAAGATTTTGATTCTACTGAAGACAACCGGAGGGATTTTATTTTCACTGGAGGGGTTTGAAAAAATGCTTTTTACAATTTAAAACTGCAGGGTGATTTACATCCCACTGGAGGGATTCAGATATCTTTCCGTGGGGGTAATGTGACTCATAAATGTCCCCTTCTCCTAGTTCACAGCCTTCTTGTTTTCTTTTTAACATTTTACATTTCTATAGGTAATATATTCTAAAAAGAAAGTAGCAATATATTTGTAAGTTTTTAAGATGAATTGGAGTATAGCAAACCTTTATAGATGAAATCAATGAGAAAATATATATTGGTTTTAACAAATATACAACTCACAACAACCACAAATAAGTAGGGTGGGTATAATTCCGTAAAGTAGGGGTGGGTGAACGTAATTTTTGTACAGACTCAACTAATGTACATATAGTTTGTACTGCACTGCCTAGTCATACATCGAGTTGACAGCTGACGCAACTATATGTTGATGTGGTCTGACTTTAGGCTGCATCTGGCTGAATTTACAATCATTACTCCATTAATTTTATTAATATCCTTGTTTTGCTTTTTAATTTTTTTTATCTTTTTCACACTTCTATAAATGTGACATATACAACATTTTCAGCTTTAAGGTGTCACACAGTCTAAATTTTGAAAATAATCAAAAGTTGGATGGCTGCCAAAGAAGCAAATCTCATTTATTCAACAAAAATCGCTTATTTGGTAATCATCTAACTTTTACTGGTAAATAAGCGTTTTTCTTTGTTGCTACATTGGCAGCCGTCTATTTTTTACTGCCGATTTTTTATTTCAAAATTTAGAGTGCATGGGGAAAAATCAATTTTAAATGTGAACAAGTTAGGAACATAATATCATCTAAAGCTTAGAGAGGGGGTGAAGGCGACCAGCACCATTTGACATCTGACCCGCAGATGTCGCCACAAAACGGGTTTGCGGCATGCGCTTACCCCTATACTGTTCAACCCTCAACTGTTGGCCTTTCGGCAAAATTTCTTTATTTGTATATGCTAATTAATTTGCAGCATTAATTTAAATTATAAAGATGTCATGCTATCTAGATAATAAACTTATTCATGATACACTGGTGCGGGTTACCTTCCCCCCCTCGATTAGATCTGATGAAAAGATTATGGGAAATTGAATTCCACTGCACTTAATTTAATCAAAGTTAAATCTACTTTATAAGAGATCTCACGGAGAGAGAAGTTAAATTACAGAAATTAATTCAAACTGAAATCAAAAGATGAAAGAGCAGGTTTGGTTTAGAAAATGAATATTTTATAAAATAAATTTAATTTAAAATTTTGAATTTAATATTCAAGAAGTGGTTCTAAGAGCAATCAAATTTAGATTACTATTAAAGCTATAAAAATAATATTCCTTAAAAATTGAGGAAGTTTTCGATAAAAGGACAAAAAAGAATCAGAACTTACCAAAAATACTGCCCCCAATTGCTGCAAGGCCGCCTATCTTAACTCCAGCTAAGAGCCCAACAGGACCGCCAAGACAGGTTCCAAGTACTGCCCCGGCCATAGGATAGACGGTAGAGGGAGAATAATTTGGCCCTGTCCGCTCTGTACACTGTGTACGGGCAGTATCATAGACGCGCTTGCATTGTGTTTTGACCTGAACAAACATAATTACAACATTACATGTAAATCATCATGGAACATAAAATGACAATCTCTGTAAAAGTTATCTGATCTGTAGCCTAAACTATCTATAAAGTTTATCCAGGGGCGTATTCAGGAATTTTTCCAGGGGAGAGGCTTAAATCTTTTTTATCTTTCCAGGGTGGGGCCCATAGCCCCCCCCCCTGAATACGCCCCTGAGTTTATCCTCGGTAGGTAGTATATTCCTAACCTTTAGACTACTGGTTGAAGATTGGATATCTGTTTTATGAGAAGGTTGATATCCTTAATCTAATGTTTACCAGTACATGCTACGTTGGCTATCTGTTTGATGAGAAGGTGGATATCCCTAATCTACAGTCACTCTCCACTAAACTCTACTAAATTTTCGGTCAGTGCACTGCAGATTAAGTCAGTACCCACTAGTAGCTTAGCTTGAGGGTGTAGTTACCTGTACTAGGTTGGATATCTGTTTAATAAGAAGGTTGATATATCTCTAATCAATGTTTATCGGTGCTACTGCTAGGTTGTATTTCTGTTTGATAAGAAGTATTATATCCCTATTCTATAATTACTGGTGTTAGGTTGGATATCTGTTTGATAAGAAGGTTGATATCCCTAATCTATAGTTTACCGGTGCTAGGTTGGAGATCTGTTTGATAAGAAGGTTGATATCCCTAATCTATAGTTTACCGGTGCTAGGTTGGATATCTGTTTGATAAGAAGGTTGATATCTCTAATCTATAGTTTACCGGTGCTAGGTTGGATATCTGTTTGATAAGAAGGTTGATCTAATCTATAGTTTACCGGTGCTAGGTTGGATATCTGTTTGGAAGGTTGATATCCCTAATCTATAGTTTACCAGTGCTAGGTTGGATATCTGTTTGATAAGAAGTTGGATATTCCTAATCTATAGTTACTGGTGATAAGTTGGATATCTGTTTAATAAGAAGGTGGATATCCCTAATCTATAGTTTACCAGTGCTAGGTTGGATATTTGTTTGATAAGAAATATTATATCACTAATCTATAGTTACCGGTGCTAGGTTGGATATCTGTTTGATAAGAAGGTTGATATCCCTAATCTCTTCCTCCAATACGGTCCAGATATCCTCGTTCAGTAAATCCTTATCCTTTTTCACCTCAGCCAGGCGAGTTCTTTCCTCCTAAGCATTTAAATAAATTGGAATATATATTTAACAATATAATTAATTTAAGTTAACTTTGAACTGAGCTGAAAGTCAATATGAAATAGTGGAACTATCTACAACTACCTTAACTTTTTCTTTTAATATGCCTTAAGAGGGTGTTATTGATTTCACAGTTGAAAGCTTGCGCAAACAGAGTAGAAGAAAGAGAAAGGATTTTTTGACAATGTTCAGAAATAATAAAAAAGCAAATGCCAGAGATAGATTTACTGACCTCTGATAAAATTGAGACCACATCCTCCTTAGGATCTTCATACAGAACCTCGAGCTGTGGGGAAGAGGGGAGAACGGGTCCAAACTCAAACTGAGATGTTCCTGGCACCTTTGGAAGTGTTCTGGGCGAGGAAGGGGATAGATAGCTGAGTCTCGTTCCATCCTCCTTTATACTACGATTTGGATGAACATCCAAGGGTTCAGGAGCCTAAATAGATAAAATTGACCTTCTGTATCAAGATGAGGTTACCATTTTGACAAGGCCATGTTGGCACAAGAACCCAGTGGGCCAGTACATACAATAAGACTCAATAGTCTGGTTGGTACCTGTGAACGCTATCAGGTTCTAGTCTACTACTAACACTGAGTAGGTGTTATAAATGTGGTGCATACAAGTCTATTAGCTGTTATAACAGCAGCTGTGTTGGTAAGTGTGAAGATTTGAATGCCTAGAGAATTTAGTCAATGTTAGGTACCTTCCCAAAGGCTTTTTCCCAAGCGCCATCTTCCCGATGGCGTATCACCAAGTGTAAACTTCCCAACTTTGCGATTTCCTAAGTCTGTCCTAGCTGCAGCACTCTGCCCCCATTGCAGCCTATGACGTCTCAGAAGGTCTAACCTAACCTTTGGGAAATTGCTGCTTGGGAAAATGCTTTTTGGAAAATACCTAACACCATTTTAGTCTACTACTGGTACTAAGTAAGTAAGTTGTGAATTTCAAGACGCTTGAAGGGACTGTAAAGGAAAAATGAAAGGGGTATAAGCTAATAACTTCAGAAGTTAATTGAGACCTATAAGAGTTCTATCTGATGATCCTTTCTCAAGAAATTGATATAAAACTGGCCAAAATTATACCAAAACCTATATATATAGACGGAGACACATGCCAATGATACTGCAATGTCATTGGTGGAAGTTCTGGTCACGTGATACAAACAAATCAATTATATTATGAATTATGTCTATTAAAAATTAAAAATTATTAAATTCCAAAAATTCCTCTGGGATCGTTGTTTTCAGATTGGTTGTGCATTTGCTGAATATGATTTGTTTTAAACTTAGAATCTTATACCAAATCTTATATGAATGAGTTTTGGTATAATGACACAGTTTTATATTCATTTCTTGAGACAGGAACATCAGATAGATCTCTTATCGGTCTCGATCAACTCCTAATATTCTTAGGTTTGAACCTATACCTCTTTCATTTTTCCTTTACAGTCCCTTTAAATTGAAAATTTGCATTCTATTGTCCACTTATCATCTATCCACATAGTACAGTAAGTTTATGAGCTAGTCAAGCAGCCGTTAGGAGTGCAGTTGTCTACATGCCAGCCTATGTAGCTGAACTGTACACTTACAGCTGTTATAACTACTAAATGATAGAGGGATATTATGACCTAACCTATAGTATAATACTCAAATATGTAGCACGCTAATGTAGTTTCTAGCCTTCTAATTAGTAAAGCATCATGGCGTATATTAGCACTCTTTACGATATGACATCGTTGGCATAGCAGTTATGTTGTTATTACAATTACTGCTTGTACTTTGGTCCACAATTAAGTCTATCCAATATTAGTGACCATAAACTTATTCTTTTTATTCCAAAGAATCTTTTTTTTTTAATTAATCCGGGCAAATTGTTTATTTGTTTGTATAATGACCATTCAGCTCTGTTTGTTTTACACTCTCAGAACCAATTTCTGTTTAACAGAAATCAATGAATTTCTAATAAATTCAGAGCTACAAATGCTAAATTCACATCCCTCTAGTAATTTGTTCTATAATGAATATGTTCTATTATGAATATGTTCTATATTGAATATGTTCTATATTGAATATGTTCTATATTGAATATGTTCTATATTGAGTATGTTCAGTATTGAATATGTTCTATATTAAATATTTTCTATATTAAATATTTTCTATATTGAATATGTTCTATATTGAATATGTTCTATAATAAATATGTTCTATATTGAATATGTTCTGTAATACATATGTTCTATATTAAATATGTTCTATACGGAATTTGCTCTATATTGAATTTGTTCTATATTGAATATGTTCTAAATTGAATATGTCCTATATTGAATATGTTCTATTTTAAATATGTTCTATATTGAATATGTTCAATATTGAATATGTTCTATAATGAATATGTTCTATATTGAATATGTTCTGTAATACATATGTTCTATATTGGATATGTTCTATATTAATATGTTCTATGTTGAATATGTTCTATAATGAATATAATCTATATTGAATATGTTCTATAATAAATATGTTCTATATTGAATATGTTCTATAATAAATATGTTCTATATTGAATATGTTCAATATTGAATATGTTCTATATTGAATATGTTCAATATTGAATATGTTCTATATTGAATATGTTCTATAATAAATATGTTCTATATTAAATATGTTCTATATGGAATTTGTTCTATATTGAATATGTTCTATATTGAATATGTTCTAAATTGAATATGTTCTATACTGAATATGTTCTATTTTAAATATGTTCTATATTGAATATGTTCTGTAATACATATGTTCTATATTGAATATGTTCAATATTGAATATGTTCTATATTGAATATGTTCTATATTGAATATGTTCTATAATAAATATGTTCTATATTGAATATGTTCTGTAATACATATGTTCTATATTGAATATGTTCTATAATAAATATGTTCTATATTGAATATGTTCTATATGTAATATGTTCAATATTGAATATGTTCTATATTAAATATGTTCTATGTTGAATATGTTCTATAATGAATATAATCTATATTGAATATGTTCTATAATAAATATGTTCTATATTGAATATGTTC